CGCTTGAATTGTACCTTTATGATAGGAGACTTTTTGTTTTGTGATCAATTGAACTCTTCTCTCACTTTTCTTGGAGCTACTATGGTTAAAAATTGGATCGTCAAGACTTTTTTGGTGCTCGCGTTATTTACCGAAGGTTTGGCGCAAGTGAAATAGGTGTCGAAGGGTACAATCGCAAAGGTGCTAATCACTGTACATCAGCTCCGTCAAGGTTGGCTCCTGAGCACAACCCTTCTTTCTACTCAATCGTTAGCTACGATCACTTTAATCTCAACTCAGATTCCTGACACACCACGCCCCGCAGATCTCAACCTCAAGGCTCTTCAGTATGGCCAACAACATCACAATCGATGCGCGCCTTGACACGTTCTTCGACGCGAGTGTGGACAATCTCAAAGACGACCACTATGTTGAGCATGGCAGCGTATGCGACATTTGCAGGGCTGATGACATGGCTGATCCACCGGAAATCATCGAGCACGCATCCTCCATCACGCGCACAGCTGTAGTCCAGACGAAGACCTGTCCCTTGCCTCACATTTTCCACAAGCTCTGCCTACACGTCTGGATGCACGCAAACCTGCACAGAAACGAAAATGCAACCTGCCCGATGTGTCGTACCACGCTCATCGTACGTAGTCACAGTCCATGGAGGGCGTCGTTCTTGGAAGAAGCAGAAGCAGAAGCAGAAGCGTTCGCTAGACGACGCACCGAACTGCCCGAGAGGTTGGCGCTCATGATTGCGCAAAACGAGGCAGCTGCGAATGAAGCCATTGCACGGATAGATGAGATTAGGGCACGTCTCCGGATGTAAGACGGACTGAATGGCCTGATCGCGATGTAGAGCGTTATTGCGGACTACACCGCGCACGCACGCCAAAGACGAACCCACTATATAGCAGCTTTGGTAGCGTTAGTAGCGCTGGCAGCGATTGTCAACCTGCGCTGAGTGTGTCCGTTCAGGCGATCGCAGGGCATGGGCGCGCCAAGCAGTTTCCTGGCCAGAGGTCTTTGTCGCAGTCCGGTCTTGAAACTTTGTACACGAAACCAGAATTCCTAAATTAGAAAATATCATTCTGCCATTCCCACTTGGTCATGTTGTCTTGACAAGCTTGTGATCGTCCGGTGTGCTTGGCGGTTTCTTATGTCTCTTGTATTCCGAATTATCCCGATTCCAGCCCTCGCCGACCGCCTCCGAAACTCCGAGTTGTACCCGATTCGCCACATGTGCAATGCTTTACTCAGGCTAAATCATGAAAACATGCTTCTTGACCAATCATCGTAATTACAGTCTTGAAAATGCAAGACTGCAGTGGGTCTTTCTTATCAAGGTATGCAGTCTTTCGGTATGAGGTTTTTCGGCGATGACTCGGCGGAACGATTGTTGGGAGCGATGCGTTTCGACTTTGCGATAGGAGGAGTATATAGTGAGGCGCCAGACCGACAGTTCGAGGGAGGGTATCTGTCAAAGCAAGCGAATGTTAGCAATCATCCTCTTTCGTTCTGAACCTACAAGTCTACAATTCATTTGCACATCCAATCTCACACTCAATCTCGATACCCTCAACATGGTGGCGCAAACATCCAAGCCATCGAGCCGCAGCTCTTCCGTGACGGCGCCAGTTGAACGCTCATCCTCACCGAGCATGCATCATGCACTTGCGACTTCTTCGTCTCTGAAGTCGATGCTCAAGAAGCCCTTCCAGGGCTGGTCCAAGGATCTCCTTCGCGCGAGGGACGACGACGACGATGACTACAACTTTTCGAGTGGTATGCGCCGTGGAGCTCAATACTACCAGAACGACGCCTGAGGTGGCCAAGAATACTATGATCCGCGACTGATGGAGGACGAGGCCGATGCCACACTACGGTCTCCCAAACGACCTCGAGCCCAACACCTATGCGCGTCGACGGGGCGGTAATATCGAAGGGGCACGTGAAGGCAGAGTGGTATACCGTGTGACGGTGGTAGTAATTCGGGGTTTTGTTGGGCTGGAAGAGCTTGTCACACCCGGCGGGTATGGCTGAGACGGTTGTATGGCAGGCCTGGCGTTTGTGCTGCGTTGCATTTGCTTTTGCGAGCGCGATACCCTTGATTTTTCCCTTAATTTACACAATTTGTAATGCACACTTAGTTCCACAATGCGCGTTATCGTACGAAGGATTGGATGTGTTGTGTGACGATACACACGACCAGAAAGCTCGTGGAGACGCCTGCCACCATTCTGACAATTCTGAGCTCGGGTTATGTCAGCAGCGCTTGACGCATCCGCTTCTCCCACTTCATCCCGAACTCCACCTCGCAAAATCTCTCCCAAATCGCGCACTTTCTAAATTGCGGCCTTCCCGAACAACTAGAGCCTGCATAGGGCTGGCATACATATGTGCCCTCGCTTGCGGTCCCGGTAAGGTCGCTACCCATGGACTGGCCCAGAGAGCGCCGCACCGAAACATGCATGGGCCATGCTGCAAGCCACAAACTCTTCCGTCTGTCAAGTCTAGCTCACACACGAATCGTCATCAGTGCATCGAGGTTACACGCGTGAAGACGAAGTATCTTTGAACATGGCAAGCATTCAACAGTAAACTATCTGGCTGACCGAGTACGAGAACTTGGCAGCTCTAACTCATGGCTTCGAGTGCGCATCACCAAGCAACATCAACGTCACTCCACAGCATACTCGGCTTGACTCGACGAAAATTGCGGAGGATTTGCGCGCAATTTCTCCTAGGCAACAGTCGCACGAATAGACGCAGCTAGACCATATCAGATGCCGGTGTGCCTAGAAAGGCGGCTTGGTGGTCTTTAGGGGGCCTGCGCCGCCCGGTTAGGCGTGCCGCATCATGCGCTGTCAGTTAAGCGATCAGCCTCCGAATCTCCCCAATAAGTAGACTAGATATCCCATACTCGACGAACCTTTTCTTCATCGCCAAGCATCACTCGTTACTGCCTGTCGTTCGTTGCCAATCTTTTTCAAGACTCTTATTTAATACTTGTCACTATACCCCACATTGCTCGTCTCAATCAACACCGCAAGATGTCTAAGATCCTCTCCGTGGCGCTTTTCGCCTCTTACGCTGCGGCTCAAACGACCGCTCAGGTCTGGATGCCCGGTCTAGGCGATATGGGCATTTCGTACGAGGGTTCTGTGGTCAGCGTTGACAACGACCGCACTATCATGTCTGTGGCTGTGCAGGGTATAACCCTCGACGACTCACTGGTACGTAACAACGAGTTGAAATCATCGATAACATTCACTGATCTGTTGCGACTAGGCCGATGTCCCTTCGACCATCACTGTCGGAGGCAACACCTACTATGAATATGACGCCTCCAATGACCACTACGGCGTGACGGTGACCGTCTCCGGCGCATGCTCGCGCCAGAACACCGACGAAGCGGAGGCAACCTGCACCCAAACTACCATTGGCCTCGAATCTGAAATGAGCTCTCTATGCGCTGACCCAGAATACGCTTCCTCCCTCTGCCCGGACGGTGTGGATGCCGCTCTCTCTTTCAGTACAGTGTTCCCCGAAGGCTACTTCGACCTGTTCGCCGTCGTCATCACCGAGGGCGGTGACTCCCTTCCCAGTGCCACAGCGGCCGCATCAGTATCGGCCGGCAGCGCTTCCGTAACAGCGTCCCGTTCCACTGTCACATCCGCAGCTTCTGGATCTGCCACTGCTACCGGCTCCGACTCTGACGCAGCGGCAAGCACTGGCTCGGAATCTGCTGCTAGCTCTGGAGCTTCCGCCACCTCCAGCGGTCCTGAGGAAGTAGCCACTGGTGCTGCCCACATGGTCCAAGTCCCAGCTCTGGCTGGTCTTGGTGCCGCAGTTGCCGCTTTCTTTTTGTAAAAGTTTAGTAGCGAGACAGTCGCTTTCATCTGCGCATTTCAAACGAGTTCTGGCTTAGCGAATACCCTTTATGCATCTACGCATCGTCACTGAATACACACGCTTATAATATCATCCTGATTCGTCTATTCACTTGTCGTATTGTTATCATGCCAAAGGTCTCTAAGAATCTGTCTCTGGTCTCTTCTCCAAGCATACCATTCTCTCTCCTTCCTTACCAAAGCAGCTCTTTCCTTTATCATCCGTCATGACTTTCCCACAGTACACGTGTCCCTCACAGTCTTCCCTTTTGCATCGCCATCTTGCCACGTCCCCACCCTTCTCAAGAAAGTAGCAGCCTTCTCTACACTCGTATCCCTTCTCAACATGCGCGCACCTCATATCGCATGGAAACCATGCGCTTCGTATAATGACTGTCTTGGTGTCTAGAACATCGATGTCTTTGAGTTCGAAAAGATCAAAGTTGGGATTGGTATTCGATGCAGGTATTTTGTGCCCGGCAGCCACAAGATCTGTGTTTGCAGATGGTTTGTTGCTGAATATGCTGGGCAACCAGCGCGGCGGTGGTCTGGGTGGAATCAGGACTGTCAACGTGTATTTTGTGGTGTTCGGCTCGGTCTCGCCTAGAGGATCAAAGTAAGCCGACATTTCCGACTTCGGGCGTAGTTTACCTGACTACAAGAGTATGCGAGCTTTTGAAAGATTCTGGAAAAATTGCGCGAAACGGGGCGGCGCAGTATCAGCAGACCAGGTACGAAGAATGGTGAGGCAGAAGTGGCTGTGTCCATATGTGCGATTGATGAACAAAGACTGGGTGGTATCAGTGTTCGCATGTGACGCACGGTGTGAAGAGGGCTATGGGCGACAAACGAATGCGTTGTGTGAGACAATGGTAAATGCTTGATTGGTGATTGGGGGTGCGCCAACACTGCCGTGAGTATTCCGCTTGCGCATTCACAGCCGTTTGGCGATACTGGATTGTAGAAGGCCCTCATGCAAGAAGACCGTGAACCGATCTGCAACCTACATCGATGTTGGATCATGTACTCTGAACGTTATTACGGCGCTGTAGGCTGCAGACCGGTCCAGCTTTTATTGATTAACGTGAAGGTATTGGCATGAACAACCAAAACCCGTCCCAACTAGAATGAATTCGCCTTCTTCAACCGATCGCTCTCCCTTTCCTCCCTCAAATGCTCATCATAGCCCTCAATACACCTCAGCCTTTCCGTAGGGCTCAAATAAACCATCCCACCATCCTTGCACCAACCCTCCCAGATCTTAGGCCGTCCCCTTTTCTCTCTGCGTACAGTTTCTCCTCCAATCTCAACCTCTTCATTCTCCATGATACTACCCGCTGCCCACTCAATAACGTAGTGCTCCTTCAAGTACTCTGCTTTGCATTCGCGTCCAGAGGCTAGGCAGCTGCAGCGAATGCTTTTGGGGATTGCATCGCAGTCGACATCGAACGTGATGGTTTCATTGATGCCAATCAGATCAGCGTGTGAGAAGCTGGAGTCGGAGAAGTATTGTTGTGACGTTGCGGGCGCGACGAGGGCTGTTATCCGGAATGTTGGCTTCTCTGGCGTTGGCGACAAGTAGGCCATGAGCTTGCTGAATATGCCTGACATGGTGGACGGTATGTGGGTGTGGGCGCGGACGTGGTTTGGATGCGCTTGTGATTTAGATGTAACTTTTGGGATTTTGTTTGAGAGTAGGCTTGGTATTCGGGAATGAGGTTATTGAAAAGGATCAAGGACTGGAGGCGTGTGATTTTATTAAAAAATATCTCATGTGTTGACTCAAATGCACAACCATGGTTCTCATGTTCTCGAAGACCCCTAATAGCGAGCCACTCAGGACACTCGTAATGCCTCGTCGTACCAAACCCGAACATCAAACGCAGAAAATATCGTTGTAGAAGATGCGACCAAGGTTTGTGCGACGCTGCCAGTCGAATATTACTGATGCGCTGAAAGAGCGGAGGCCGACGTCTCGAGATCCAGCACAGGAGTCGTGGGCCGCGCAATACGCTGCAGTTCGGCGACGCTTCGCGAGACACCCATTGGTACACCACGTACAATTTTGTTGGCCGGGCTACTAAACCACGCAGCGTGTGTAGTTGTCGCATATGCTGGAACCTGTTCAACTTCCGATTTTGCAGGTTTAGCTGCAGGAGGCTGGCGGGAGGACGGAATGGGAGTCGATACAAGATCATCTCTACCACCGAAGAGCGAGTTGAATATTATGCTCGGGCCTAGCGACTTGAAAGTGCTTCTCGTGCGGCGCATGGAAGCCGGGTTTATCGGCTCCAATGTGGTATGCTTGTTGTCGCCTAGGCGATCTTTTGGGGGTTTCGAGAGCTTTCGCTTGTCTGAATCCTCTGCGGCGTGCTCCGTAACGTTTTCGATCTCTGAGGTAGCAGCTTCGGGCTCATGTGGACGTGACTCATGTTCCGGAACTGCGGGTATATCGCTCGCGCAAGCAGAGGATGAAGGGCAGGCGATACTGCAAAGAGCGCTTTTGGAAACAATACATTGAGAGCTCGATACTGCAGAGACTTTCGGAAGTTCTAAACTCATCGAAGGGGTCGTGGCCATCGTAGACGATTCAGGAAACAGGCCATCACGACTTGAGACTTCAGAGCATGCTGTCGACGATCTTCCGCTTTCAGACGATTCTTTTGATTCTTCTGTATCGAAGGAGGGTTCGAGGGTAGGCGGTGTATTGGATGGCAAGTGTCGCTTCTGCTTCAGAATAGTGTTTGACCGCTTCGGCTGAGACTTTGTCGCGAAGACATGAGATTTTTTCACCCTGCGTGGCATTTTGAGAACAGGGTCGCGGCCCAGCCGAGAACTCCAGAAATGACGTAAGCGGAGTGAGATTTCGGTCGGTCCAACTAAGGTCGAGGTTGAGCTCGGACGCCGGGTAGTTGGTTTAATGGCTAGAGTAAATTGTCAAGGAAATGAACTGACACCCGCTCAGTTAGACGGGTGCGCGGAGGCTTCTTTGAGTTTTCACGAACAGTGTGTGAAAGCGTTTGGGGTTTTACGATTTGGATCGCTGTCGAGTGAACATCCATCGACCAGGCTGGATTGCGATAGTTGCGCGACTCGAGCTGGGGCCTGTGGCGAAGCTTCTTTTGTTGCTTGTGGGAGTGAATTGTTGTAGGCTTGACATTCTGGATCAAATTTAGTGCTGTAGTGTGGGCAAATGTTGGTGACAAAGACATGGACGTTTGCTGCGCAGTCGTAGATGTCTCGTTGTTCAAACACTAGTCCGATTGCGGCTAGCATCTGGTTCGTACGACCGCAGACTGCAGCTGGAGTTGCTGCCACCCGCTGTCAGACATGGATACCATGCAAGCCAGGATCGATTCATCCGGAAGCTAGTACCCCACCTTTGTAAGCATGTCAGCGCCGTTTCTCAAGTCGCTTTTCGCGTTGAAACTTACTCTCAAATCTGCAATCATGGACCGGGAGCACACCGGTGAGATGACCTTTGAGGTCGACGCAGGTCACGATGAGCCGAATTCGAACAATGTGACAAGCAGTCGAGAAAGGAAGCTACTGATGAAAGTCGACCTGTGCGTCCTGCCTACCGTCATTGTACTGTATCTCTTGTGTTTCATCGATCGAACGAACATCGGTAAGGCCGTTTGCGCATGGCGTGTTTATGCCCACGGACTGATCACAACAGGCAACGCCCGTATAGCTGGCATGGAGGAGGATCTCAAGCTTGAGGGATATGACTACAACGTCGTATTATCGGCGTTTTACGTGTCATACATAATCTTCGAGATGCCAGCAACGCTCTGCTGCAAATTGATCGGTGCGCACGATGACTAGAGCGCTTTGTTCAATTCTGATATAGCAGTAGGACCTGGATGGTTTCTGCCGATGACTTCGTTTGGCTTCGGTGCCATGTCTATCGCGACAGCCTTCGTACGAACCCGCGCTCAGGCGTGTGCTGTTCGATTCCTGCTTGGGATCTTCGAGGCCGGCGTAATGCCTGGATGCGTTTACTACCTCTCACGATGGTACAAAAGGTCGGAATTGACCTTTCGTCTTGGGCTGTGGTTGTCCATGGCCCCTCTCGCGGGAGCTTTCGGTGGCATGATCGCTTCGGCTATCCTGAACTTGAGCTCCGTCGGTTTCTTCGATGGTTGGCAAATGTAAGCAAATAGCCTGTATGTTGCAAGTCTCTGAATAACAGTTGAAAGGATCTTTGCGATCGAAGGCATCGTTACCATGTGCCTTTCTGTCGTGGCCTTTTTCACACTGACTGACCGCCCGGACACTGCACGCTGGATGACCGAAGATGAGATACGGATGATAGTTGGCAGGATAAAATCCGAGCGTCTCAACCAGACCGAACTGCTCGACAAGATCGATACCTTGAAGCTTCGACGCGGCTTCTCCAACCCAATCACGCTTGCGATATCGTTCATCTTCCTGCTTGACAGCATAACTGTCATAGCAATTTCGTTCTTCTTGCCGACGATCGTTCGTACCATTTACCCAGCTAGCACCGTCGTCCAACAGCAGCTCTTGACAGTGCCGCCGTACGTTCTGGGTGTGGTCTGCACTATTCTGATCACCACAGTAAGCTGGCAAATGAACTCCCGACAGACGCTCATTGCATTCACGGGCCCTTTTGTAATTGCCGGGTATGCGATGTTCCTTGCGACGATGAATGCAAGTGTTCGATATGCGGCTATCTTCCTTTGCGCATCAACATGCTTCTCGTTGGCTGCCATGACGAACGCACAAGTCAGCGCAAACGTGCTTTCTGACTCTGCACGTAGCATTGCCATTGGAACCAACGTCTTCTTTGGATACGTTGGCGCCCTGATCGCCAGTTGGACTTATCTACCTGGCGACTCTCCCCGTTATGCCATTGGAAATGGGATCAACTTGGGTTGCGCAGTGACATGGACCGTCGTGGCGATTTTCACTAAGCTCTGGATGACCCGCGACAACAGGAAGAGGGACAGGAGGCAGCTAGAAGCTCATACAGAGCTCGCATCATTATCAGATGACGAGATCGCGAACCTTGAGTGGAAGCACCCTGCATGGCGATGGAAGCCGTGACTGACGTCCCATTCTCCTCAGAGGCCCCAGAGACATTGCGGCGTTTATGGAAGAAGCCCACATGGCTCTTCACGTTTAATCATGCCACCGAGGGTAGAATGGCCGACCAGGTTCGCAGTGCATGCGACCAGATTTTTCTTCACGACAAAGTTTTGTTCTGAAGTCGGGAGCTGTTTCCAGTGTCTTCGTATGAGTTAGCTACTTGTATTCAATTCTCAAATTCACACGACAGAGGCGTGAAGTCGCAAACTTACATGCCTTTGTTCCTTCACAATCGCTCGTTCACTGCAAACAGATTCACCCACCTGATGCATTTCCACGAACATGTCTATCGACTGCAAGCTCTGAGTTGCCAGCTGCTCGACTCAGTCTCTACCAACTTGTAGCCCTCGTTCAAGCAGGCATGGACAACTTCCTCAACACGCAACTGCATCCCGCAGACACTTGCAACATCTGCACCGAGCACTTCAGCGCGACCCATCAGCCTGCGGCGCTGCCTTGCAAGCATATCTTCGGTCATGAGTGCATCAAGAAGTGGTTGAAGGAGGGTAGGGGAAACTCAAATGCTTGTCCAACTTGCCGTTACGTCGTGGTCCCCAAACCAAACCCACGCGCAACCTTCGATGTTGCCTCAATCTGGAAAGCAATATGCGACCAGCCGCCCGAACGCCTCCATGAATTCATGATGAAGATATGGTCTGGCCTGGAGATACTTTGGCAGCGAGAGCCCACCGGTGCCTTCACAGTAACCTCCATTCTCGACCAAGCCATCATCCCCGCCCTTATCAACACTGCACATCGCACCAATGCGCCCGACGATCGGCGGCCGGACTCTCTTTTGGATTGCTACAATCTCGTGGCGGCATCTTGGGACTCTTTAGGTCGCCCCAATGTAGCGACTGGTCTTGCGATCCCGCTGGTTCGGCTCGCACGTTTGATGGCCAGCGCAGGTGCTGTGCTACCAAAATGGCTGACCAAGAACCCACGCGCAAACAGACTAGTCTGGCGCGCAAATGCCTGTCTACCTATCGGCGAAGTAGACATATCGTGGCGCTACATCATCGAAGCCTCTCAACAGATCGAGTCGCCTTACTTCCCCTTGCTGCACCTCTATACCGTGTTCATAAGCCAGAGCATCGCGCACTTCCCTGCACCGAGTCTGTATCCCACCAAGCGTCATGAGATCATGAACCTTGTGGTTGAGCGTTGTTGTACAAGGATTGGTGGAGGAGGGGCGGCTTGGAAGGGCAAGCCGGGCGACGAGCTCAAGGAGGTTTTGGTGGGGGTATACGACGAGTTACGAAGGCATCAGCTGGAAAAGAACCGGATGAGTCTGCGAGGTCACGACGGAGAGGATGCGCTGGTCAAGGGCATATGGGCTCTCGCTGGCTGGGGCGGTGGAAGAGGTAACGCGCGCTGATGGCATTGCGTAGGTGGGGCCATTCGAGCCATCTTAATTCTATGTGCTTTATGAAGTTAGCATCCTTGTATCGATTTAGAATGACAAGGACATTGAACGCATACCTGAATTGTAGAAG